ATCACCGATTGTCATCACACCACTTTTGCATTTATTCCACATTGCTCACATTTCTACTAAATATTTTCCTTCTCATCTCTTTAATAAATAAATATTCGTTGAAACATACTTAGGTCTGCCTTTCTCACTCTACAAAATAAAATTTTTTTGGGGGGTACAAGTTGATATGTTTGGAATACGATTATGACACCCATCTCGATATACTGTAGGTTGGACTTGGTTTCCCTGTGTACACTCTCCCAAAAAAGTATCGGCCCCTTTTCTCATCGATACAATGTGTCACAATGGACGAATATTTCCGATCACTAATTGTGATTTCTGCATTATGTTGGTAGGCCTGCCTTCCTAGTACCGGTGAGGCTGCCAGTTATTATTTCTGGCATTTTTTGTAATTATGGTGAATCACCGTGCTCCATCTTTAGTAGAATAATATAATGGTATTAATGTAACGAAAATATATCCACGACGGTCAAATAGTGGGTGTTTTCTGCTGGAAATCCATGACCAACACTAGTACCCGAGGCTCATTGGAAAACACAGTCTGCATTGACAGACATGGAGAAATGTCACTTAACTAATAACAGTATAGCTATAAGTCAATGTTTCTTATATATATATATATATATATATATATATATATATATATATATATATATATATATATATATATATAAGAGAGAGAGAGAGAGAGAGAGAGAGCACATTATATTTACGTCATTGCTTAGGCCTATGTCGTGAAGGGCGACGATACTGCCTCGTGTTGCCTGTGATGTCTCCATAGTGATGGTCAATCCTGTGGAAGGACTTGGCGACTTCGTCTCGTGTGTGTCAGATAATGTTCCGTTGCCAGCACGAACCATAAGATGATACGTTATATTCATAATTGTCATCTAATCAGTTGAGGTAGAAATAATATCGAAATGCAGGAAATGATAATGCCATTGTAATTGGATACGGCATCAAAATACACCTGTAAATACTATATTGGCAAATGAATGTAATATCGGATCATAGTGTTTCATATTTTGTTCGCAGCGATTCCATTGTAACGTTATATTCCTACAGTATTTGGCAACCCATCCTCTGGGGCTGAAATAGTATCCAAGGTGCATATATCAGCGGGGTTACTCATGACGTTATTGGTTTTGCGTATGATATCACAATTCATCCTATTTCATTACAATATGTGGAGAACAGGAGGTATACTGTGGATATAGTAAATCAGGTATCAAGAAGAAAGAACGAAAGGTGTAACTCAATCAGAAGTACCTATCGAACTGAGACTGTTGTGCAAGTGTTAATGTGTTCATTTCCAAGTGCATCAGGCCCAGGGGGGTTGATACTTTTTTGGAAGAGTGTATACAACCACTTCCCTGGACGGTTCTTCAGTGACTTATGTTCCGTTAAAGAAGCTTCCCTGAACAGTACTTAAGCCTAGTAGTACACACTCGTCGACATACTGTCCTGCGTGACTGTCAAACAGCCACCTTCCGACACAAATCAGTATTCATGTTTGATCAATGACAGTTTTCTGATGTTCGATCACCACGCAATCAATACGCCATGCCGGACGCCAAAACACTGATGGCTGTTCCGTAAACAATGCTATATAGCTATAACCAAATGATCGTTTGGTCATCTTATACTATATTATACTAATTACATTAGTAATATAAAATGACAAGCTATAGCCTAATCGCTTTTATTTATCACTTGTGCAAATCACATATAACTATTCTTACCTTCATTGCAGCTGTCGTTGGGTCTTCGTAGATAGTTTGGCATGTCTTAGGAATATTTGCACTCACATTTTGTTTATAAATGTGTGTGTGATATTAAAAACTTGCATAGGAGCGTCCAGGTGCTAGATACCGAAGAGTATAGCCTCCACACGCGCTCTTGCTGAAATACTCTGAATCTAGTATTTTGTTACTCTATTAGCGGTTTACCCTTTCAAGAAGAGAAAATGGCCGTTACTGGTACTCTAACATAATAATGAAAATCTTCTTCACTTTCTATTGCAAGTTCATTAAATATGTGCTTAAAACTTCCCTTGGAGCGCCTCTTTATTAACCACTGTTTGTACCACAATGTTCATTTCTTCACTCTCCTCTTCTTTATCGCATAAGCAATCACCCCACTCCACAAAGCAGTCCTCCTTGCCCACGAAATTGGAGCCATTGCCGGCAACATCGTGATCAGAAACGAATGGTAGTTGCTGGTGTGTATAACTCATCCGGCATGCCTGACTGACACCATCGGACAGACTTCTTTTGTCGGACGGCATGTCGACAAGTATGTACTAGCCTTTACAGTGACTTATGGTCCGTCATTGACACTTCCCTAGACAGTGACTTATGGTCCGTCAATGATACTTCCCTAGATAGTGACAATGTCTGTCAATTACACTTTCCTAGACAGTGACTTATGGTTCGTCATTGACACTTCCCTAGACAGTATTTTGGCAAAAGACACTTCCCTGGACAGTGACATATATTAGTGGTGAGTGGCAGTGGGTGGTGGTAGTGTGTGGTGACAGTGGGTGGTGGTAGTGGGTGGTGGTAGGAGGTAGTGGCAGTGGATGGTGGTAGTGGAAGGTGGCAGTGGGTGGTGGTAATAGGTGGTGGTAGTGGGTGATGGTAGTGGGTGGTGGTAGTGGGTGGTGGTAGTGGTGGTGGTAGTGGGTGGTGGCAGTGGGAGGTGGTAGTAGATGGTGGTAGTAGGTGGTGGTGGTAGTGGGAGGTGGCAGTGGGTGGTGGTAGTGGTAATAGGTGGTGGTAATGAGTGGTGGTAATAGGTGGTGGTAGGGGTGGTAGTAGTGGTTGGTGGTAGTGGGTGGTGGTAGTGGTTGGTGGTAGTGGGTGGTGGTAGTGGGAGGTGGCAGTGGGTGGTGGTAGTGGGTGGTGGTAATAGGTGGTGGTAGTGGGTGGTTGTAGTGGGTGGTGGTAGTGGGTGGTTGTAGTGGGTGGTGGTGGTAGAGGTGGTGGTAGTGGGTGGTGGGCAGTGGATGTTGGTAGTGCATGGTGGTAGTAGATGGTGGGAGTAGGTCGGTAGTGGTTGGTGGAGGTGGGTGGTGGTGGTAATGGGAGGTGGCAGTGGGTGGTGGTAGTGGTAATGGGTGGTGGTAGTGGGTGGTGGTAGTGGGTGGTGGTAGTGGGTGGTGGTAGTGGGTGGTGGTAGTGGCAGGTGGTAGTGGGAGGTGGCAGTGGGTGGTGGCAGTGGAACGGATCAACTAATATCAAGGTAATTGAAGCAAAAAGTTGACATGACTGTGTGATAGTCGTGTACATCTCCTGGTACACACACACACACACACACACACACACACACACACATATATATATATATATATATATATATATATATATATATATATATATATATATATATATATATATATATATATATATATATATATATATATACTGTGTTGTCACTCGGAATCGAGTATGACTAGCGAGGTCATCCTAAAACTGTATCTTGCTCTTGTGAGACCACACCTGGATTACGCAGTTCAGTTCTGGTCACCGTATTACAGAATGGATATAGAGTCCTTGGAAAGAATTCAGAGGAGAATGACAAGACTAATCCCGGGCATTAGGAACCTTGAGTATAGAGACAGGTTAAAGCATCTTAATTTACTCCTCGAGAGACGTAGAGCGAGGAGCGACCTGATAGAGGTGTATAAGTGGAAGGCAGGGCTAAACAAAGGGGACATTACAAAGGTACTCAAACTATCCAACCAAGGAGCGAACTCGTAACAATGGTTTTAAATTAGACAAATTTAGATTTAGGCGTGAAATAGGTAAACACTGGTTTGGAAACAGAGTGGTGGATGAATGGAACAAGTTGCCAAATATCATCATTAACTCGAATATGCTGAATAGCTTCAAACATAGGTTGGATGCTTATATGAGCAATAGGGGTTGGATGTAAACGGGACTGCCCAGTATGGGCCAATAGGCCCGCTGCAGTTTCCTCCATTCTTATGTTCTTATGACGATCATCCAGCTATGAGGCAATATTATGAGTTATTAGGGATATCACCCACGTTGATTAGCTCTGAGGTGACTCGAGAGGCAGATACGGGACGGCAGGGCCGTCCACAGTTGTTGCACGTATGGAGGGCTACATCTAGTGCGTTGGCGCTTGTCTGCCTCGTTATGCAGTCGGGTTAACTGGAAAGTATTGCCACCTTCACATGTGCTGATCCTCCAAGCGTTACGGTGTGGAGTGATCGTCTCCCAGGTGAGGGGGTCGATTTGGCAGCCTCACGTTTATCATTTGTTAGGTGACTGTAAAGTAGCTGCTTTGGCATTCTACTGTCGTCCATATATAAGAACAGCACCATCCCATCTATTGTTAAAATATTAAACAACTCCTGATTTATGTACTGTACAGCCCTGTAAATGTATTCAATGCATATTATATCATTTTGTCTAAATTAAATGTAAGTCTGTATATTTTCAGCCACCGGCTGCAACTCTATTAATAAACCGTTTTTATTATTATTATTATTATTTACACACACACACACACGCATACACGTATACACACACACACACACACCTATACACACACATTCACCCCCCCACACACACACCCTCCCACACACACACACACACACACCCTCACACACACACACGCACCCCTCACACACACACACACACACACACACACACACACACATACCCACATTCACCCCCACACACATACGCCCTCCCACACTCACACACACACACACACACTCACCTCCCACACACACACACCTCCCACACACACACACCCTCCCACACACACACACCCTCCCACACACACACCTCCACACAAACACCCTCACACACACACACACGTACACATTCACCCCTCCCACACACACACACGCACATTCGCCTTGGTGGAACCTGATTTTTGCCCCACGTCCACATAATCACCTTCACACTTTCTTGGTCGAGACTCACTCTGCTGTTCCCTGCTGACTGAGACGTAAACACCAACAGGAAGTACTACAGCAGGAAGTACTACAGCAGGAAGTACTACGACAGGAAGTACTACAACAGGAAGTACTACAACAGGAAGTACTAAAACAGGAAGTACTACGACAGGAAGTACTACAGCAGGAAGTACTACGACAGGAAGTACTACAACAGGAAGTACTACAACAGGAAGTACTACAACAAGTACTGCAACAGGAAGTACTACAACAGAAAGTACTAAAACAGGAAGTACTACGACAGGAAGTACTACAACAGGAAGTACTAAAACAGGAAGTACTAAAACAGGAAGTACTAAAACAGGAAGCACTACAACAGGAAGTACAACAACAAGAAGTACTACAACAGGAAGTACTACAACAGGAAGTGCTACAACAAGCCTCCGTGTGGTACAACACACACTCAAGCCTCCGTGAGGTACAACACACACTCAAGCCTCCGTGTGGTACAGCAGACAGCCTTCGAGTGGCACAGCACACTCAAGCCTCCGTGTGGTACTGCACACACTCGTGATCACAACCCACATCTCTACACAGAGAACTCAACATTGTTGTATTGGGAGCACGATTTTGTCTTAAATTAGGTGAAAAAATATGTTGTGATCATCAGAATACTGTAGCACTGTGTCTTGAAAACAATTGCTTGTTAAAATCAGCATTGTCGTGGCCTCGCATTCTTCCTAGCGTCAGTCACGGCCTAGAATGAGTGTTAGAACGTTTGTCACCACATCCACACTACAGGACTACCGACAGTTTTTGTGGTGCGTTATGACATTTTACCCTGCACACCTTGAACCCCGATGGTGCAACTATGGGTTCGTACACTACAGTTTGAGAATCCCATAATTAAGCTTGATAACAGATCCCAATTGTACCTATAGTCTTATAACTAAAGCTGACTTGACTTATGATAACGTGATGACATAACCTAACTGAACTTATGATAACATAACTTAACCTAACCTAACGTAACCAAATTTAATCTATCATAAAATAAACCTAACCTAACGTAACCAAATTTAATCTATCATAAAATAAACCTAACCTAACGTAACCAAATTTAATCTAGCATAAAATAATCCTAACCAAACTTAACCTACCTTAACCAAACATATCATTACTAAATATAATAATAACATAACTAAACTTAACCTAATGTAACACGAATTCCTTCACATATCTCAACTTATCAAAGACAATGCGATAGTGTACTGCATGTCTGTGTATGTCAACAGTGCCCCATGGGTGTAGCGGGCGCGTGGATAAACCGCCGCTCGCCTCCTGTTTTTATAGTCGTGTGTTCGAGCCTGGGTCATCAGCAGTCACACTTCACTTCTTACTCAAATACCTTCACTTACGGTACAGTCTCAATGCAATCTTGGCGACATTTTAAAGTGACTTTTTTGTGTTCACTTGAGTCATTCTATGTGTTCTCGCCTGGGATGATATTATGTAGATATTCCTTGTAGGTATTATTCAATGTATAGAGCAGTCCTCTCTCTCCCCCCCCCCCCCCTCCTCTCTCTCTCTCTCAGGAGAACTGTGAAGCTGCCACTGGAAATAATATTGTTCATGGTTTAGAAACACCCTCTGGGATAATGTGTGGCCCAGTGTGTGTGGCCCCATGTTAGTGGTCCAGTGTGTGTGTGGCCCCATGTTAGTGGTCCAGTGTGTGTGTGTGTGTGTGTGTGTGTGTGGGTCCAGTATTAGTGGTCCAGTGTGGTGTGGCCCCATGTTAGTGGTCCCGTGTGTGTGTGTGTGTGTGTGTGTGGGTCCCAGTATTAGTGGTCAGTGTGTGTGTCCCAGTGTTAGTGGTCCAGTGTGTGTGGCCCCATGTTAGTGGTCCAGTGTGTGTGGCCCCATGTTAGTGGTCCAGTGTGTGTGTGTGTGTGTGTGTGTGTGTGTGTGTGTGTGTGTGTGTGTGTGTGTGTGTGCCCCAGTATTGTGGTCCAGTGTGTGTCCCAGTGTTAGTGGTCCAGTGTGTGTGTGGCCCAATGTTAGTGGTCCAGTGCATGTGGCCCCATGTTAGTGGTCCAGTGTGTGTCAGTGTTAGTGGTCCGTGTGTGTGGCCCAAAGTTAGTGGTCCAGTGTGTTGGCCCCATGTTAGTGGTCCAGTGTGTGTGTGGCCCAATGTTAGTGGTCCAGTGTGTGTGGCCCCATGTTAGTGGTCCAGTGTGTGTGTCCCAGTGTTAGTGGTCCAGTGTGTGTGTGGCCCAATGTTAGTGGTCCAGTGTGTGTGGCCCCATGTTAGTGGTCCAGTGTGTGTGGCCCCGTGTTAGTGGTCCAGTGTGTGTGGTGTTAGTGGTCAGTGTGTGTGGCCATGTTAGTGGTCAGTGTGTGTGGCCCCATATTAGTGGTCCAGTGTGTGTGGCCCCATGTTAGGGGTCCAGTGTGTGTGGCCCAATGTTAGTGGTCCAGTGTGTGGCCCCATGTTAGTGGTCCAGTGTGTGTGGCCCCATGTTAGTGGCCCAGTGTGTGTGGCCCCATGTTAGTGGTCCAGTGTGTGTGGCCCCATGATAGTGGTCCAGTGTGTGTGGCTCCATGTTAGTGGTCCAGTGTGTGTGGCCCATGTTAGTGGTCCAGTGTGTGTGGCCAGTGGTGGAGGTGTGGTAGGTGGCCATAGTACTGGACGGTGGTGTGGTGGGTAGCCATGGTACTGGATGGTGGTGTGGTAGGTGGCCATGAGTACTGGACGGTGGTGTGGGTGGCCATAGTACTGGACGGTGGTGTGGTAGGTGGCCATAGTACTGGACGGTGATGTGGTAGGTGGCCATAGTACTGGACGGTGAGTGTGGTAGGTGGCCATAGTACTGGACGGTGGTGTGGTAGGTGGCCATAGTACTGGACGGTGGTGTGGTAGGTGGCCATAGTACTGGACGGTGGTGTGGTAGGTGGCCATAGTACTGGACGGTGGTGTGGTAGGTGGCCATAGTACTGGACGGTGGTGTGGTAGGTGGCCATAGTTCTGGACGGTGGTGTGGTAGGTGGCCATAGTACTGGACGATGGTGTGAGAACAGTCTCTTGGTATCAGAGTTTGGGTGTAAGAAGATGACAGTACAGCAGTAAGTCCAGGCACAAGGCACAGCTCTGGGCACATTGTGGGGCGAGTGTGGCTGTTGGTCACCTCTCCGGGGGGTGATTGACGTGGCTGTACCTGTGTTTGTTGTACTGTCTTCTGTAGTGGTCTTCGTAGGTCCCTTTGACTGAGTTTAAGAACCATTTCTGTGGCATAAATTCCTGTATGATGTTTAATGTGTTAGCATCATGGCCTGAGGTGTGTGGCGGCCGATTAGATACCTGCTAGCTTCCAGTATTCCATCAAGCTATAAATGGGTAATTAACTTTACAATTGAAGAGGAGAATGCGGGTGAGTTCTATGTCGGTGACGCTGCCTTCCTGAATACCAAAGTCTTAATATTCAGGGTGACGCTTTTACACCGACCTAAACGGAACCACATTTTTAACCCAGGCTTCAACACGCTATATCAAAATGGATATCAGTTTGTTCACATATAGAAAAAAAAACTTTAGTATGTCACTGAGTAGAACATGTAATGTACTAATTGCAATTAGCAGTTGTGTTATCCCCCCCCAACCTTTTCCGTCTTGGTGACGCGCGAAGTGCGGAAAGATTTACAGTGCAGTACATTATACTGTGCACTATACTTGTTTATCTGCTCATGTGTTACGTTCTTGCTATTTACATTTATACCAAGTTAATGAAAATTTGAAGGTTGTGTTATTGGTGTTCTTCCAGTAGCTGGATGTTGATGTGTTCCCCCAGTTGCCGGATGTTGTTGTGCTCCTCCACTGGCCGGATGTTGATGTGCTCCTCCAGTAGCCGGATGTTGATGTGTTCCTCCAGTAGCCGGATGTTGTTGTGTTCCTCCAGTAGCTGGATGTTGTTGTGTTCCTCCAGTAGCCGGATGTTGTTGTGTTCCTCCACTGGCCGAATGTTGTGTTCCTCCAGTAGCCGGATGTTGTTGTGTTCTTCCAGTAGCCGGATGTTGTTCTCTCTCCTCTCTAGATAGTAATAACATCTCTCATTTACTGCTACTTATATATATATATATATTTTGCGGGTAATAAGAACGTTCTGAATGTCTCTAAAGTGTTACCATCTTGTACTGCATCATATTCTGTAATAGCTGGTTGTTAGGATGGTGGCGCTCATGTTGTGGTGAACTCTGTACATAATTGATTTGTATCATTCGGCTAACAGTCAACGGACAGAACAGTAAATGTCTGCCACTACATTTGTGTATGTAAGCAGGTACCACAGTCACACACAGTATATGTCTGCCACCAGTTTTGTATACGTCAGCAGGCAGATCATCGTGTTCTGCTGAATTAAAGTTGTCCCTGCTTGTTGCAGCTGTCATCTGCCAGTGGATGTATACAGTGCTGTATAGTGTCACCTCTCTCACACACTCTCTTACCTTCTTTACCATCTCCCTCTGCACCGGCGAGATATGTTACCTCCATTTGTGTCTGTCATAGCCAGACCTTGTGTTTTATTGTCTGACGTAATTAGATAAGCAATAATATTTCCCCGTTGATAACCTGACCTGTGTGTGTGTGTGTCTCATCACTGTGGAGCCAGACCTGTGTGTGTCTGTAGACCAGACCTGTGTGTGTGTGTCTCACTGTAGACCAGACCTGTGTGTGTGTGTCTCTGTAGACCAGACCTGTGTGTGTGTGTCTCACTGTGGAGCCAGACCTGTGTGTGTGTGTCACTGCTAGATCAGACCTGTGTGTGTGTGTCTCACTGTAGATGCAGACCTGTGTGTGTGTGTCTCACTGGAGCCCCAGACCTGTGTGTGTGTGTGTGTCTCGCTGTGAGCCAGACCTGTGTGTGTGTGTGTGCTCGCTGGAGCCAGACCTGTGTGTGTGTGTCTCGCTGTGGAGCCAGACCTGTGTGTGTGTGTCTCACTGTAACGGAGCCAGACCTGCCAGCCGTGTATGTGTGTCACGCTGTGGGCCAGACACTGTGTGTGTGTGTCTCACCTGTGGAGCCAGACCTGTGTGTGTGTGTCTGCTGTGGGCAGACCTGTGTGTGTGTGTGTGTCCTCGCTGTGGAGCCAGACCTGTGTGTGTGTGTCTCGCTGTGAGCCAGACCTGTGTGTGTGTCTCGCTGTGGAGCCAGACCTGTGTGTGGTAACCTCTCACTGTAGACCAGACCTGTGTGTGTGTGTCTCACTGTAGGCCAGACACCACAGCCAATGTGTGTGTCTCGCTGTAGACCAGACCTGTGTGTGTGTGTCTCGCTGTGGGCTGGGCCTGTGTGTGTGTGTCTCGCTGTAGGCCAGACCTGTGTGTGTGTGTGTCTCGCTGTGGAGCCAGACCTGTGTGTGTGTGTCTCACTGTAGACCAGACCTGTGTGTGTGTCTCGCTGTGGAGCCAGACCTGTGTGTGTGTGTCTCGCTGTGGGCCAGACCTGTGTGTGTGTGTGTCGCTGGAGCCAGACCTGTGTGTGTGTCACTGGAGCCAGACCTGGCATGTGTGTGTCTCAC